GTACATCAAAGGAGGCAACCAAGGAAGTGAAGAGAAAACCCACAGAATGGGAAAAAATCTTCACCAGTTACACATCTGACAGAGGTTTAACATCCGGAATATATAAAGAACTCAAAAAGAATTAAGAAACAAGTGACCCAATTAAAAGATGGGCTAAAGATCTAAACAGAGAGTTCTCAAAGGAAGAAATAAAGATGGCTAAGAAACATCTCAAAAAGTGTTCAACATCATTAGTAATTATGGAAATCAAGTTAAAACCACCCTAAGGTATCACCTTACCCCAATCAGACTCACTAGGATCAAGAGAACAAATGATTCCAAATGCTGGCAAGGATGTGGAGAAAGGGGAACGCTCATTCACTGATGGTGGGATTGCAAACTTGTGCAGCCTCTATGGAAAACAGTGTGGCGAACTCTTAAAAACTTAAAAATGAACCTACCATATGCCCTGGTTATACTACTCCTTGGCATATACCCAAGGGACTCATTGTAGAGACACTTGTATGGCCATGTTTGTTGCTGCTCTTTTCACAATAGCTAAGAGATGGAAGCAACCTAAGTGCCCCTCAACTGATGAGTGATTAACAAAAATGTAGTATATTTATACAATGGAGTTCTATTCAGCAGTAAAGAAAGATAAAATAATGAAATTTGCAGGTAAATGGATGGATCTAGAAACTGTTATACTAAGTGAAGTAACACAGACTCAGAAAAACAAACAACATATGTTCTCCCTCATATGTGGATCCTAGCACCAAATCCTTTTAAATTCCACGACCTTTTAATAAGATGACGCTGTACAGCAGTCCCTTCTGCATGAAATAACTACCATCATCACGACTTCAGCTATGCCTGCTCACTAAACATCGTCACAGTTGGGCTTGTTGATGGTTGTGCTCATTTGTTAAAGGAGGGCCAAGCAGGGTCATTGGACCCTCACTGGAGTATCCAGCCACTGTTCCCAGCCAACTGTATGTAATTTGGTGCTAATCACACAAGGTCTCCTGGATTTGGGGGGGGGGCTAAAGTATACAGTCTGGGGAAGGCTAGGAAGAGAAGGTATGACCCATGTTGGATAAAGGTTTTCCAGTGTGCATACCCTCAGTTATCAAAGCCTTTGAGAGGGAACTAACACTGATTCTAACCACTTCCAACAGTTATCATAATATCTGAAAGCAAATCCTGAATCCATCACTCTGGAGTCCAGCCTTGGTAGACAAAAGGAAAATGAGGAGGAACCCAATAGAGGGATGCTTTTGGAAGCCCTTGTCAGGAAATGCCAGTGGACTCACATGAACCTTGGAAATTTGTCCTGTTCTGACTTTTCTAGTTCCCTGTCTAGAACTTGTAATGCTAATTACTCTTGCCTTTACTTCTCCTTCACATCTCCTATTCACCAGTCAAGGACTTTCTTTTCCCCCTAGAGGTAACAGTTAACAATTTGGGAGTCTTTTAGATAGACCACTGAAGGGGTACCCCAATTGCCTCACCCTGCGTCCCTGTTCAGCATGGAAGAAGCCAGAGCTGTCTACATCCTGATTCCCTATCCTCCAACTGGGTAACCTCTTCAGAGGATGGTGTGATAAAAATGGGAAGTAGGATTGGCTAGGCAGTTAGTGTAAAAAGACCTGAAAGAAAAGTAGCCAGCTTCTTGGTTAAAAGTCAAAATATCTTTGGGCTTCTTTAGCAACATACTCTG